TTGGCTGACTGGCAGCCATTTTGTTTTAATGATTGGGCTTCTAGAGCCATATCTCTTAAATGCTTTGACTGATTATTTTCAAATTTTATATATTTGTTATACATCTTGTTATATATATATATATATATATATATATATATATATATATATATATATGTATTCAAAATGGCTGATTTTGAATGCTGTTCCAGAGCAATATCTCTCAATATGGACAAGTACTTGTTTGACGATCAGATACAAATGTCAATCATTTTAATGTTTAAAAATCATATTTCTGACATGGTTATATTCCAGCTATATTACAATAAACAAAACTATATTTATTAAATTTGATAACTAACGGGGACTGTGCCATGCATGGCTTGTTTATTCTTTGCTTCTCATGTTTTTATAAGTCCATTTTTTTGAGGAGGGTGGAAAAACATAAAATTAATTCTTTTTTTTTTCATTACATTTTGTGTGATTTTCAAAGAATTGTAAGTGAGATCATTGATTGAAGAGAAGAAATGAAATAAAATTTTATTGTTGCCAATTGTGGCTCAATTTTCAGCATTAATGAGAAATGATACCTGTCAGTCACAAATAAAATTTAAAAAAAGTACCTTTTTCAGTGGTTTGAACATGGTTCATAAGGACTCATTTTTAATCCTTTAATTTTGTTATCTTTCAGTTGGTAAATGTGTTATTTTGTGTCAAGGATCTAAGAAAGATTTCTTCAAGAAGTTTTTGTATGAGCCACTTCCTGTTGAGGTAGGTATTCAATAGAATGGCTTGAAGGAAAGTGTATATATTGTTTTATCGTATTGTCAAGCATGATTTAATTAATGGCTAAAGTTGTTTCATAAAATATAGAAGACAATAATGCTTTTGATTTATTATATTCTTCTTTCATTTCATTTTTCAGTCGCATTTGGATCATTGTTTACATGATCATTTCAATGCTGAGATTGTTACCAAGACGATAGAGAATAAACAAGACGCAGTGGACTACTTGACATGGACTTTTATCTACAGAAGAATGACTCAGAACCCAAACTACTACAACTTACAAGGTACATTGAGTGCCAAAATAAAACCAATAAACCTTTTTTTTTTTCATTTTTCTCAAATAAGTGAGATTTGTCAGAATAATGGAATCCACTATATAAAACATTGTCTATGAAGTAATGCTATACTAATAATTAAATGTCAATTTATTTATTCTAAGGTGTGACACATCGTCATTTGTCAGATCATTTATCAGAATTAGTTGAGAATACATTGAGTGATTTAGAACAGTCCAAGTGTATAAGTATTGAAGATGAAATGGACGTGAGTCCCCTCAACCTGGGAATGATTGCTGCATATTATTACATCAATTACACTACAATCGGTAAGTGTTACTTTCACTCATTAGAAAGTGTTAGATGTGCACAAGTTAAGGGAATTGACACAATGTGAGTTACCTAACGAGTTTGTTGCTTTTGGGATGAAAATTTATGAAGAAAGTAATCAAAAGTAAACAAGTCAAAATAGTAAATTTTTTTAATCTCTGGGTGAAACACAGTTTATTTGTCCCTGTTCGGACACAATCCAAAAACGGGGACTTATGTTTTGACCCTTGTGCGTCCGTGTGTGTGTGTGTGTGTGTGCGGACCTGTATCTTAGATATGCTCAGTCCAATCACAATCAAACTTCACACATACATTGTACATGATATTATACATATGCACATCAATTTGTTTCACGATGTGATTCAAAATGGCCAAATAATATCCATTTTTGTGCTGAAGATCATCAAAATCAAGCATTTCTCGGCTGTTTACTGATGGAATTTGTTCAAACTTGGTATATACATTAAACATTACGGGACCTAGTTGCAAAAAATTGTATTTTAGATAATATTCAAAATGGCTGACTGGTGGCCATTTTGTTTTAATGAATGTGTTCTCGTGCCATATCTCTGAATTGCTCAAATTTTAAAAGTTCATTATACATCATGTCATAGATATACAGATATATTGGCCGAATAGTGTATCAAGCATATTTGGCATTCATGATGGATTTCGTTCAAACTTGGTACATACATTAAACATTAACGGGTTCTTGATGCACGTTATTTAATTTTTCAGATCGGATTCAAAATGGCTGACTGGCGGCCATTTTGTGTTAATGAATGGGCTTTTAGACCCATATCTCTGACTTGCTTTGACTGATTACATGTATGTTAAAATTTTTAATATTCATTATACATCATTTCATAGATATACAGATATGTTGGTTTTATGGTTCTATTTAAAATGGCCGAATGGTGTCCATTTTTGTGCTAAAAAAATCATCAAATATCAAGCATTTCTTGCATTTATGGATGGATTTTGTTCAAACTTATAACACACGTTGGACATTACGGGTTCCTGATGCACGTCATTTTATTTTAAAGATCGGATTCAAAATGGCTGACCATTTTGTTTTAATGATTGGGCTTCTAGAGCCATATCTTTGACATGCTTTGACTGATTATGTTAAAATTTTATAAAATCGTTATACATCATGTTATAGATATATCCATGTATTCAAAATGGCTGATTTTGTTTTAATTGATGATGTTCCAGAGCATTATCTCTCATAATGGACAAGTAATTGTTTGATGCTCAGATACAAATGTCAATCATTTTAATGTTAAACAATCATCATAATCATATTCCTGACATGGTTATATTCCAGCTATATTACTATTTAAACAAAACTATATATCTTAAATTTGATACAATGTAACTAACGGGGACTGTGCCACGCATAGCTTGTATTTTTCAGATCAGGTTAAAAATGGCTGACTGGTGGCCATTTTGCTTCTAAAGCCATATCACTGACATGCTTTGACTGATTATGTTCAAATTTGATATATTCATTATACAGTATGTTATAGATGTATTCAAAATGGCATGCTGTTCCAGAGCAATATTTCTCAATATGGATAAGTACTTGTTTGATGATCATATACAAGATGACTTATTTATATTCCAACTTCATTACTATAAACAAAACTATATATCTTAAATTTGATAACTAACATGGACTGTGCCATGCATGGCTTGTTCAAATATTGTGATTATTTGAATCAATATTTCAAGTAAAAGCATATAGAACAAATGTTTTCAAAGCAAATGTAGTCAGCACACCTATTTAACTTCATCAAAATTTTTAGTGAGTCTATGTACATGTACACATGTAGGTCATGTATAGTAATTTAGATACATGCACTGTTTTTTATATGATCAGTTCACATTGCAAAATTATATAGAGTTCTGAGAATGTGTATTCTTACAATCTATTCAGGGTTCTTAGAAGCAATTAGGGTTCTAAAAATGTGTATTGGTTTTTTTTTTAAATCCCTATCATGGTTTTTAAAATGTTTATTTGTGGTCTTAGAATCTATAACAGGATTCTGAGAATCTATATCATCATTCTTAGAATGTATATTGGTGTTCTTACATTCTATATCAGGGTTCTTAGAAGCAATGTTCGGGTTCTAAGAAATGTTTATTGTTTGTTTTGTTTTTTGAGTCTATATCATGGTTCTTAGAAGCCATATTGGGGTTCTTGGAATGTATATTGGTGTTCTTACATTATATATAAGTGTTTTTAGAAGCCATCTTAGAGTTTTAAGAATGTGTAATGATGTTCTCAAAATATATCGTATGCCTAGTGGCCTCAATATGTAAAATTGAGAAAAATAAGGGGTTGGTGTATAGCTGAGGATCTCTTCGGAAATTATAACAATTTGTTAGTTTGTTTAACAATGTAACCATGTTGTAAATGTATAGTGATATTTTTATAATCTATATTGCAGTTCTTAGAATTCATATCAGGGTTCTTAGAATCTCTACCTTGGTTCTTAGAATCCATATCAGGGTTCTTAGAAGCTCTACCTGGATTCTTAGTATCCCTACCTGAGTTCTTAGATTCTCTACCTGGGTTCTTAGAATCCATATCAGGGTTCTTAGAAGCTCTACCTGGGTTCTTAGAATCTCTACCTGGTCTTAGAATCTCTACCTGGGTTCTTAGAATCCATATCAGGGTTCTTAGAAGCTCTACCTGGATTCTTAGAATCTCTACCTGGGTTCTTAGAATCTCTACCTGGGTTCTTAGAATCCATATCAGGGTTCTTAGAAGCTCTACCTGGATTCTTAGTATCCCTACCTGAGTTCTTAGATTATCTACCTGGGTTCTTAGAATCCATATCAGGGTTCTTAGAAGCTCTACATGGGTTCTTAGAACTCTACCTGGGTTCTTAGAATCCATATCAGGGTTCTTAGAATCCATATCAGGGTTCTTAGAAGCTCTACCTGGGTTCTTAGAATCCCTACCTGAGTTCTTAGAATCTCTACCTGGGTTCCTAGAATCCATATCAGGGTTCTTAGAAGCTCTACCTGGGATCTTAGATTCTCTACCTTGGTACTTGAAATCTCTACCTGGGTTCTTAGAATCTCTACCTGGGTT